TTGGATTCAAACCCATACTGTCAGCCATTCTGTTGGCAGTCTTGAGAAATTTTCTGAAGATTAGTAAAACAAGACAGTCAGCATAATGACTAATCAGCTATTAAAGAACATTAGCCATTTTTATTGTTAGTAGGAGGCATGTGAAAATTATTCCCATAAACACAATATAGCAAATATTAAATTCTAACAAATTATTTTCCTCCTTTTATGGCTTTTGCTTGAGAATAATTTATAAAAGGTCAATTTTATGACTATAGGCTAAAAATGTCATTTAGAAACTTCTTTACTCATAATGTCCCTTAATCTTCCAGAAACTAAATTATGTGCAGAATGTAAACAATAATAAAATTAGATTACCATGTTTCTATTGACATCAGAATATCTGACCACAGATATATAAATATAGCCTTAAAATGTAGCCTCAAACCATAATTTTATACACATTCACTCCAGTTCAGATATTTCCTGTAAATAAGGTTTCTTAAAGATACTCTCATTGGGTAGAACTGTATTTCACAGAATCAAATTTATAGTGAGAAAAAAAATAAATTCAGATAATTTACTAGTGTTCTAAGCTTTGCAGAAATAACAAAACAACTTTAGATTCTAATAATATAAATAGGTAAAACTGAATTGACATTCTAAAATATGCAAAACACAATTAAATATATTTTAAATGCAGAAAATTTAACCACCTAATTCAAGATTGTAATCTGTTATCATCTTGGAAATCTGATACACCAATTCAAAATTACTATTTGAGTTACCATCAGAATTCCTGAAACTGTATTTGTAGTGAAAATTATAATTGCATCTGGTTTTACATCACTTAAAGATAAATTAATCTGTTTTAAGACCAGTTTAAGCTGCTTCTTGCATTTGAATCTGAATTTACAATAGGGAAAATTCACACTTTGAGCTCTTAGTTTCACTCACACCTCTTTTCTTGCCCTCCTCTCTCTCTTCCTAACCCTAGACAACCAAAAATAAACACTGAAACTAGCAATATATTGGAACTGACCAATCTCAGGCTTCCATGGACTAAAGACAACCAGAGAAAAAACAAAGATGGAAAGAATCCCCGCTTTGCAAACAAGGCCCTAATTGGTACGTAAATAAAACTCCTTTTACTGCTACAGCTCTCAGCCCTTCTGCAAAAATAGTTCCCAACCACTTCTCACCCATAACATAAATATCAACACAAAGCCTTCAGCAAATAGAGGCTTGATTCTTCTGTCACAGTCAATCCATTAATATTCATCTACTAGAAGCATTACCACCCAAAAGCCTTTTTCTTAAAAATTATGCTTTTAAACAATCTCTCTGATAAGAAATTTTTATTCTATTCTTCTCTAGGAAACCAACTGCTCAAAGATAGGGGAACAGTGAAAAGAAAGACAAGCATTAGTGTTTTTGCAACCATCCATCAGTGTATTCTGGGTTAAGTTTTAGTTGTTTAATAGTAACTAAAATATTCATTAGTTCATTTAGAAATTTATTATTTCCAACAATAATTTTCTCAATACAAATCGAGCACTTATTTATGCTATTTGACTAATTTTACCTATAGGTGTCTTGTAATTTCAAGATTTACAAATTGGGTAACATCAACTGTTAACTGCAAGAATAATGATTGAGAGAGATGTTGAAATATAAAAATAAGCATCTAAAAGTTTTGAAATATGAAACATTCAAACAGCATCTACAACTGAAGGACATTTCTTCTAGGAAAATTTTCAAAACAGTATTTGAGGCTGTAGCTCGGGGTCTTTTTGATTTTCTTGTATTTTAAATTTTTATTTTTCTAAATTAAGTTTATTGGTACATTTTGGGTATTCAATATGATGATATTCATCATTGAGAATTTGTACCTTTACATGATATATCTTGGTTCTTATTTAAGCTCAGTGTCTTTTTGTCTTTTTTCCTTATAAGAACCATGAAAATAGGTACTAGCCTGATAAGAACAGAACCTAAAAACACTGGGTCTTAGGATAATTTGGCAGCAGACTTAAGAAGAAACTTAATATTCTCTGCCTCGCCATTTCATTCCCTTCTTGTTTGTTCTTTAGATGAAGTTATTACGGTTTTTGATACAGGAGATTTTCTTGTTTTCTTAGCCTCTTTATAGGGACAAGTGGTGGCAGGAAGTAAAAAATGGTTCTGAGAGAAGACAGTGTATATAAATGCATGCAAAGCCAACAAGTGTATAAACTAAATGGAAGTTTTGTTGACCTAATTAATTTCAATTGAGCTGAAACTATTTTAAACTGCACTGCCGAAAAGTCACTTAAATACAAATCGTGTGTGTATGTCTGGAAATATTTGTTATAGAGTTAGGAGAAGTGATTGATATTTTAAAGAAGCTTAAATTTTAATGAATTTCTTTTTTTCATTCTTCTAATTCATTGGTAAATATTGGTGGTCTCAAATTAAATAAGATCTCAAAGAAAGAACAGGAAAATCTGTAACGAGTATGTATCAGGGAAGCTTGCCAGATGTTAATGAAGTCACTAATTTTAAACTTAACTCCTCTAGTGGTGGCTGAGAGGAGTGAAATAAGCACGTGATAGAACAGATATGTAACATGATAAATTGATTCACAAACTTAATAGCAACCTAGAGCTTCCTGATATTGTTTGGATCTGAATAGGCACATACTATGGACCGTGAAGAAAATTTGGGTTCCAGATTTTCAAACTGTGTGTTAAAAATAAAACCTATTCAGACAGATAGAAATTCTTTTTATGCTTTGGATCATCTATACTGGTTCTTTCTAACTTCTCCTTCCAATGAACCACAACCTTTCGAATGTACACCAGTGAAGAACACCTGAAAACAGGATGAGATGAATAAACTACGTATTTCTCTCAAGTTAGGTCTTAAAAACTCATTTGCAAAACATAAAACATAAGTGTGTCTTTAGGATAATAATTTCTAATTATTTCCCATGCTGAATGGGGCAGAAGATCACACCAACGTCTCAAATATTTTATTGTTCTAACCTTATTTTAGTTATGCAAAAATCCTTTAAGATATAGTATTACTGAATGAATAAGCAGCCAAGCTATGAAATGTAAATATTCAGAAACATATTACTCTACATGTGCTTCAAAAACAAATCACACCTCATTCACATAAAGCCACCTAAGAGGGCAGACCCCAGACAGAGTCTGCTTTAATACTGGGTGGTTCGTGTTGTAGATGACTTGCCAGGAAAATACTGAAAAGATGAAAACACCCTACCCCTGTTTCATTTTTCATATTTAAAAAATTAACTATCAGTATTTCATATTTACTCTTCGCACTATACATTGACATAGTCTAGTAAGCAAATTAGTTTAATATGCTCAGTCTTTCTCATTTTGGGAAGCTACTTTAAGTGATTGCGTTATCTGGTTTGACAGTGATGGAAATGACAGTGAAAGGTTTGCTGCCATGGGCCCTCTGTGGCCTCCCTGAATAGTAACACTGAAAGGCCCCACCGTGCAGGGACCTGCCGTGAGCCATGCGACTGTCCCCACACCCGGCCTGTCCTCTGGCAGACACGCTTTCACCTGAAGCCAGATCCCAAGGGGAGAGGAAAAAGGACGTCTTGCTCTTATTTTATTTGCTCTATAAAATCTAGTTATGGGCTTCAATTGCTTTCCTATAATTTACATTTCTCTTTGAGTACTGGGATGGGAAGAAGTTTCAAGAGAAAAGGCCCTTTATTCAGAGATTATTTTTTTTTGCCAGATCAGCAAAAAACTTTTGATGACAACCATTTTCATTAATACTGGAAATGAATATATTTACTTTTAAAGAAAAATACAGAACAGTTACAGATAAAAAATTATCATTGTGGATATAAATAGCTTACATCAGAAATAGCTGATTTGACATTTTATCTATTATCACAAATTTTATAGCATTACCAAGTTTCAAAAGGTTTCATTGCTAAATACTGGAATACTTCACCAAAAGGACAATAATTTTATAGCATTTGTGTTTATTGTTTTTAAAAAATTATGTGATAAAAGATCACCATGGTGATTGGGAACTGATGAAAGAGTTTTCCTATGGATGGAATTCTAATATAGATAATTGAACTTCTAGTGGAACTTATTTTCTGAGTCCATCAAGATCCTAAGGCTTGGTAAAAAATAAGCAAATATATCTATGAAGTAATTTTTCAATAATCTAAGGTAGAAATAAATACAGTACAACAAGTAACATTTCCATATGTTGAAGTTGTAAAAATATGCATAGCACCTAAATGATTGCACATAACAGACAGAAAACATATAACTCCATATGTTTAATCTTAGGTATATATCAAGTAGGTCTATTTACATAAATACTCATATGTATGAATTATACAGACATAATTGTAATTATACTATGCTTAATGTATTCTACTTAATCTTTTAAAAAGTAAGTTTTATGAATACTTTTCAAATAAGATTGCCTACATTGTAAGCAGTAAATTTTTCTGTTTTGCTGATCTGTATTTTAATAGCCAAAGCCACAAGAATGCTAGGTACACAAATTATTTTACTGATCATTGAAAATAATTCAGTTCAATGTTGACATCTAAACAAATCTTTGGTTATATTTAGTAACAAAATGGAAAGAAAAAAAAAGAAAGAAAGAATTCCAAAATTTCATTGCTCACACAGCAAAATAATGCAAATTGATACTGTGCTGTGGACATGATTAACAAGGAGATAAAATACATTCAAAGGTTTAAAATGTTATGTGCTAACATATGAACAGATGTGTGTATATATATATATAACATGTGTACATATATATGAATCTATATAAAATTAAACCAGTTATGAATGTTACAATAACCTAGTAACATGCAGTTCCTACTAATGAATATGAACTAATAAGTCAAATTGCCTAGAGGGGAAATAGTAGTTTAATGGATTTAACAACAGAAATCATAGCCACCTAGTAACAAAGTGAGGCAATAAGGTGCAAAGCAAATAGGGAAGAAGGCAAACACTCACCTTCGGTGCCATTGGGAGTCATGGAATTACTATTTATGTGAGAGTTATCGAGTTTGGGACCACTGGGGGATTCACTACTACCACTCAGACGGCTATGTGGGCTGGTTAGATCCTGCATTTCCATAGACCTAAAGACAAGAAGCCTTCAGTTTGACAGATGGACCAAATTCATGACACCACTATTTAACGCGATAATGACTTGACACGTTCTTTGAAACACATTCACACAAAAATCTCATTGTATCTATTTTCTTAGACTCAAAATAGTCCATCTTGCACTTTGATTTCAGTCATCCTTGCATTACACATACTAGTAAAAGGTGTCACCTTGCCCTACCTATGCAACCAAACATTTATATGGAGTTTTTTAATTTCTTGTTTTTCTCTTCCATAGTTTATCAAATCACAAGGTCTAATGTAAGACAATGACATTTGTTTAAATTTTCAGAGAAAAAAATGTAGTCATAGTTTTCTATAATATTAAAAAATCCCCAAAGATGTTATTTTTCTAAAAGAAAAGGCAAATGTATAAATAAGTACAATAGAAATACATCCCTTTTCTATGGAATCTAACAAGTAAGCACTATGAACTCTTGTAATTTACCACCCAACTGTAATTTAATGGGTCTCCAAACCAAATAAAACACTTGAAACCTATAGTCTAGTGACAGGGAATGAGATAGTCCTGATGCATGTGTTTACTCTGGCAAACTACTTAATTGTTCCTCTGTTTCCCTTGAAACAAATGCAGCATTAAAACATTATAATGTCGGCTCAATTGTTTGCTTTGTGGATTACATACAGCGTGCCCAATTGAAAAGGGATAAGACCAGCATACAGTGAGTCCCTGTGAGCATTAGCACTCAGAATACCTCAGCTGTCACTTAGGGAAATAAGGACAATTCTGCTTCAATGCTGTCATTCTGCATTTTTACCATATAAAAACAGTTCAATCTCCCCTGAAGGTTCTTAGACTCAGGAGTTACTTATTCTGAAAAAGGTAAAAAAGCCACTATTCATGTTCACAATTTCAGAACTAGACACTTATATTTAATACTCTTTTAAGAGAGGATTATTGAAAGTCATTCAAAACACATCTAGATACCATCTGTATTCTGACAGCCAAGTTTTTAAAGCTAAGGCCCATTTGCTTTATTTTAAATGTTGTGAGTTTCTAAAATAATAATGAGGGAGTTTAATGTTACACATATGAAGCTAATATTTGTTCCTCAACTACACTAGGTCAATAAAATATACAGTCATTTTAGTTTGGAGGCTGTACTTAAATTGACTATGGATATCAGTTTTTAAAACAACTTAATATGAGCCATTTTACTTCTTGAGTCTTCTGAATTCAAACTAGAAATGTTTCAAATCTATTTTTTTCTTTCCTAGTTCTCATTTCAGTCACAGTTTTCTTAACACCAGAAAGTTTATCCCACAATCATCAAATCAAGGCTCCTATTCCTTTCCTAAATACTTAAACATTTTTTAGAAGTACATACATTCACACACACACACACAATGTTAAGTAATTTCCAACCAGCCTGTTGCTATTAATAGCAATAATTAAGACATACTAGATAAAAATAGATCTGGGTCACAGAAAGGTAATTTACAAAAATGTTGAATAGCAACAATAGCCTTACCTGCAACTTGAGGAAACAGCAACATCTGAACTGGTTTGAGATGTTTGCACCTGTGGTCAGGGGTAAAAAATTAAAAGCTGTTGTTACTGTGCTTCAGTGTCAGCTCTTAATTATACAGAGCACATGGCTGAGACCGACAATGGTCTCTTTTAACCAAAAGAGAAAGAGGAGGATAGTGCAGCAGTGAAAGGCATATTGTCTTTAAGTTGAGGTCTCAACTGTTGTTTCCTCCTGCAGGTCTATCCTCCTCCTCCCCTTGTCAGGGGGAAGGCAGCCAAATGACGGGATAGTGATTCATCACTGGCCTATGACAGCTGCAAACGGGATTACCCCTCCCCCAAACAACATGCAAAGCAGCCTTGCCCAGGCAGCTTGGAAAAGGTGCTTGGAAAAAATAGCTATTAACAAAAATGAGTGTGCTTAGCAGCAGTAGTTCGCGCAATAATCCCCCAGCATCCTCGGAAGATCTTTCATCTTCTGTTATCACCAGCTGAAACAGAGCTCCCGCCCACCCCTTTGACTCTTGAGGGTTTCTTATCCTTATCATGATGATTTTCTCCCACGTTTACTATTTGTCATTTAACAATCAGTAAAACAGCTCCTGGGCAACTCTCAGGCAATGCTGCACTAAGAATAAATGGGGAAGACAAGTTTTCATACCCAGTCATCTCACTAAGCAATGCCTATGCAGCTCTGCCAGGCAACACAAAAAGTTTGTGGGTTTATTTACTTGGGTGGATTTCTCATCTTTTAGATTGAAAAAAAGAACGGATAACTGAATAATCAGTTCAACATCCCAGTTAGCCAGCGTGTTAATCTCTTTGTTTTTAAATGAATCTAGATTTGGGGGCTTCACTAAGGTGCAGGCTTTAGTAGTCACTGCTCTTTCCAGAAGCGGCTCTAACCATCAGCAGGTGATGAAACTCAGGTGAGGAAGCCTGCTGGCTTGCACGCTCAGGCTAACACCTTGGCAGGCAGGCAGCAAGGAGCATTCTGCATAACATTTAAAATGGCTCAGAATTCCAAATCTTTGATGTGCATTTTCATTCAACCTGAACTGACATCAATTAGGGCTACAGAACAAAGATGAGAACTGAAGCATCTCAAATGACATTAAAGTTATCCAACTAAGCATCTTCTGTGGATTCCTGTTATTTTTAAATTATGATTTATGAAACTAAGAAACACCACCTTTCTAGCAAGAATAAAGCATCATTAAGGTCTAAATGTCTTGGTATAATGTTTCTATAATACATGCAGGATGACAAAATAATTTTTCAAAATGCATTAAGTAGAGATTAAACATTAATATCTGTATATGTGCCATGCTGTGATAACAGGTTTCTGCCATTTTTGTTAATGCTCTCACACAAGATAAAATGGTTTCTTTTAGAAACTGGAACAATATACCTCAAGGATAAATACCCACACACATACTTTTATACACCTGGAATAAATTATAGGCGAGAACTTAGTTTTAAGAACTCTCTTGGCTTAATTACGTGAGAGTATGTAAAGTATACTTTCTGTTAAATGTTAAAATCCACTTCCATTTTAACATCAGCTAGAAAGTATAATCTTAGATTCATTGTGTAGTTTGAAAGTTTGGTTATATTTATATTTGAGGCTTCACCTGTCATTTCTAAATTTAAAGGTTTATTGTTGCTAATTTTTAAAAAATGAACTTCAGAACAAGAATTAGCTGAATACATTTCCTCATTGAAAAAAGTGCATTTTCACAACAACATATTTCTTTTATGCTAGGACAACCCAGTCTCTACTGTACTGTCATGCACTACAATTTTTGAAAGCCCATTCCATGATCTTCATTTCATTAAGTATACTTCAGATATATTCTTTTGTGTCTCAAGGATTATTTAAACCATGTGTTGTGTGTTACTGTATTTAAAAATGACTCTTTAATCAAAATAACTTTAAAACAACTAATCCTCACTTAGGCTGGTCAGCTGAATCCACATCGTGGTCCAGGAAAAATAAATCTACTCTCAAGAATGCGAATGCAGACAACAATTAGACACAGATGTGAGCAAAATTAGTTACAGTTTACAAAATGCTACACTTCACATGCTTTTAGTTTTTTATGTGTAGCACAAGATTACAGTGCAGTAAGGAAACATACTCTTATAATGACTTATCTAAAAAGAACACCTATTTCTGATTGGTGTTGATTTTCTCTCATGTTTGACAATTTCTGTAGAAATTTCTGTATTTTAAAGGTCTAAAATCACAATGTGTCTCAAAAATAATTAATCAGGAATAATTTGTTCAAAAGGGAGAAAAAAGTATTTCATGGCTTCCAGAAAAATGCTGTTGGGCATTCACTAAACTCACATTTTCTGCTTTATATCCACAAACTTAATACGTTTCTAGTCTCCTAATCTGGTATCTTTAATTTAAATACTTCCACGAATGCAAAAATATTTCCCATTACATTATATAAATGGTCATCTTAAATTACAATGAACTCATTGCACTTTAATGCTTCTTAAACATTCTTTGTACAGAATATACATAGTAGCATATTGGCAGAGCTGTGAAAATACAAAGAAAAAAGATAGCAGAACTCCTTAGAATTTTAATTCAAGAGTCCTAAACTTGTAACTTTGACTTCTGATTAGTTAATGAGGTCTTTTAAGTTTGCCTTTTTTTCTAATTAAATTTATAATTCTTCACAGATGTAACTTTTGTTGATGTTCAATTTGTCTCTCTCATTTTGTTAAACCTCACATAGTACTTCGCCAATCCATTGAATAGCCACATTAAATCTGTTAATACCATGCTCTTCAACCCCAGAAATTATTTCCAGAAGGCAAACTTGCTTTGAGAGATCATCAAACAAGACTTAAGGTACACATTTTATCACATTTTCCCTACCACAGAGCTCAGGATGCAGAGTAAAATCATGACTTTTGCACTGTTTATTATACTTTGCTAAATTACAAATCAAAAGCATCTGACAGAAGATCATGTATGAAGCCAAAAAGTTAATAATGTTCTGTGAAAAGTAAACTGTAAATGGAAAGGGATTCTAAATCTCAGCAGCACAGAGAAAATAAAATGTAGGTACTTGTCTAAATTATGGGTTTTCCATAGGCTTTTTTGCTTGCTAGAAGCAATTTTTATAAAATGACTATAATTTAAAACTTTTTTTCAAAATGAAAAGAAAATTTCAAAGTGAAAGTACTGAACTTATCTAAATAAATACAGTTGGCAAGAGAGCTAGTTTTGTCCAACCACAGATCAACCTGAGTACTTGCAAATTTGAAAGACAATGGCAATTTTCTAATCAGAATACATTTCATAGGGAATAAATGTGCCTTAACTATATATCTGCTTTTAAAGCAGAAAAAGATCTTGCCCAAATTTCTCCTCAATCAATATTTCCAACTGTCTCAGCATGGTTAATAAAAACCTAATTTTTTTTAAAAAAACTTAACCTTAAGATTGAAATGAAGTTCTAGGGAGGGGTAGATTGTTTTTTTTAATGCTAGCAGTACATTTCCTTCTTCATCAGAGCTCATAAAGTAAATATTTTAATTCTATTGCTGCTTATTTTACAGGAATACTCATTTGCAGTATCTCATTTAAAGAAAATGACAAAATAGCGTTCATATGAAACCAAAAAGAAGGAAGTTTTTAAACCACATCGATTCCACCTGATTTAAGGATTATTTTCAAAAAAATTATTGAAATGTGGTTCAAAATACTGATATCTGACTAAATAAAAGTATTCTCATTGAAAGTATGTCTTCTTCCAGTGTAGTCTTATGAAATAAATTTTCATGCTCAAATGGAAATTTTCTTTTGAGAAAATCACTTATCATGTCTGTGAAACCCACACGGCAGTTGACTTCCATTTGGCACTCCAAAACTGAACAGTGGCTCAATTAAGTTTCTGGGTCTGTCAGAGCGGAGAATTTTCAGATTGGAAATGTATGGCCGCTTGCTCATTTACTGAGCACTTTGGGCCTCAGGAGAACTCAGGCATTGAGAAAGTCAAATATCAAATTTTGATCATTTAAAACCCTGACTACTCATTGTGTACATGTCCTCAAACCCCAAACAGTGAGGGTAAAGATTCACACAAGCACAAAATAAAACCTACTGTGAAAGACATTTTAAAAAACCATCCCAAACCTATAAAACTGCGCTATGTGCTTTACTATCAATTTCTGTACCCCTTGCCATTTTAAGAAACGAAACGTAAAAAGTTTGCCTAAATTCAATGACAGCTCTGAATTTATTGAATTCTTGTAAATGCTATGCTTAAATGTGTAAAAACTCCTCCCAAGAAATATAAGCTCATTAGTCATTAGCAATTCATATACTGATTTTGAATGGCAAACATTTAGAATGGAAATTCAAAAGTTGAAGAATCTAGATTTTAACTTCAAGGTCCATTTAATTCATTTAAAGTGGCAATAAGTGACAAATTAATTAGCCCATTGTTTGTTGTATCACCTTTTGGAGATGAGCCTGGTTAATATAACGTTTGGAATATCGGTTTACTGAAGCAAATAGATGAATTTGCTTAAAAAGTGGTTATCTGTTGTCCTTTCAAATGTTAAATTTTTCATTTTTTTCCATATCAAGCTAACGTGCACAGGTAAAGTCATCCATGTGTTGTTACTATAGATGCATATATAACATTTTAATCACAAAATAATATTTGAAACTTGCATAGAAAAGAGATATGAAGTAATCTCAACAATACGGTCTTCTGTTATACTTATTTGTATAAATCATAACAATCATTAACAATTAATTTGCACTTATCTCTTAATGACCCTAATTGTTCAGAAAATTTGGGGGTTAAAAATTAAACTTTTATGATTGTACTTGTGGCTAATAAAGTACTAGGTACAAAGTGTCATACTTTTCCTCATGCCGTAATGTTTTTCTTTTAAAACAAATCAAAACAATAATAAAAGCGCGCCTGTTATCTCGGGCTTTGCCCAAGGACAGCTGTTGTCAGTCACTACAATTTTTCAAACAGTCATCTTGTACTTACAGCGCTCACATGTGCCGCGTCCACCAGTTTAATGTGCTCCTTCGAGTTTTCTGGTTTAGTAAGCCTCCATTCCTGACATAGTTCTGCTGCTGGGCAGGAACTGCGAGGGCTGTGCAGCGCGCTCAGCGGAGCTGCGGCGCTGCCGGCCGCGGAGCGCGCACGCAGGGGACAGCCCGGCTCCGGGGGACGGCGCCCGGGCGCTGCTGCAGGCTCGGGCTGCTGAGCCACTGAGCCAAAACCCTTTCCCCAGGAAGAACCCCGCCACAGTGGACGGCAACAGGAAGGCTTACAGTCGGAAGTGGCACTGGAGAGTTTCTACCTCGCCCCAAACTCGGAGCCATCAGCTCCCACCGTTCTGTTTGGGAACAGCTTTGCGCCCTGCGCGCTTTCCCCACCGAACGGCAGCCGCAGATAGCATCTGAGAACCCTAGACAAAGAAACAGCAGAATCTCATCCCTTGATTTGTTTGCGCAGCCTTGTAGGTCTGCCCATGAAGCCTCGGGGCTTTTTTTGTTTTTGCAACGCAAACCACAGTTATTCTCTTGTCCTAACGTTATTGGTTTAAATGCAACAATTGAAAGGAGCACTCCTCTGTCTGACTCAACCTTGCTGCTTTAAAAAAAAATTATTATGTAAATGAACGCGCCCCATGCTATCTGAATAAACAGCTGTGTGAGAATAACTTCTGTGACACTGTCAGCACACACACATCCTCCTGCTGCAGTAGCTCCCAATTAAGATCTTTGGGAGTAGTTAGTTACACGTTATCTTTTTACACTTTTTCAAAACTTTTTTTCAGGCCCTGAAACTTGAGGGATTGATACTTTTCAGAATTTTTTTCGAATGTACCTACCCACTAACAAGTCTGGGGAAGATAAAAGTAGAATGGCTGTTCCCAAGAAAAAGCGAACAACGTGTAAGCTATTATCAATTCTACAATGAAAGACTGCCTGATGCTTCTGCAACAATTTCTAGGATGCCAAATCCTCCCTGAACGATTCTTAGGCTACGAACCAGACAATATTGCAGTGTTAATATTTTCAAATGATTTTTGAGAAAAGATTCAATTCACTAGGATCCTTTCTTTACAGCCTATTCTTTCTAAACAATCTAACTAAACTGTACCTGTATCTATACCTAATCTGCTGTTACACTTGCCTGGAGATTTGAGCTTCGTTAAGATCTCACATTCTATGCAGATAAACAACTTCACTTATAAGACCACTGACTTAACCATTATATTTATTTCAAATATTTAAAGAAGGCATTGTTTATGTGGGCTAATGATTATACTTTAATTTGTCAGCCTTATAAATACAAATGTTTATTTTGATGCTATTCACTCATCAGAACCAATCTTGTCCTCTAAAATATAATGGTTATCCCCTTTGGATTTTCTTAAAACTATGTTATCAATAATGCTATTCTATTTATTTGATCTTTTTAATAAAAACAATCCCCTTTTTTAGGCTTGGTATAAAAAAACCTTTAAAAATCACAGTAGCTTGATAAATGATCTCATAATACGCTTCTAGATCATCAACCAATAAAATACAAAGTCTTACTTTTTGCATTGCTAATTTGTAAATGAAATAACCATTCCTATACAGACAAAACACGTTTAATGACCAAAATACAAGGCAAGCTTTCTCCTTTCTCTCCCCTCACCCCTGAAAAGATGCCAGTCTAAATTCCTCAGAAAAGAATGCCTTGTCAAACCTAAGAGGCATCTTAAACTGCAGACTCACCTAGGATTTCATTTTGTATAGTACCAGCAAGGAATCATGGGCTAGGCATCTACCATATTTGGGAAGCCAGCTCACTAAAGAGTTGATTGCTATTGGATCTGTTCATATATGCAGCAGAAATAGAATTATGTTACGACCTACAGCACTCTCTCAGGCCAGAAGTATCAGTTAGTCAGTATACTAAAGTTATAGCAGAAAACAAATCATAGTCTATAAAGGAGGTTTCTAGTATTGTCAGATAAAAAGAACGTTACATTAATTCAATCTATGATATCAAACACCAACACAATAACTGCTTTTGCAATCAGATTTATTACTAAGCGCCATAAAATATAAAATTTGAGGTGTTGGTAAAGAATTATACCTTATTTGAAACTCTACATGCAGCTATTTTACCCATGTGTCCCGTAGTGTTAAAATTATTTTAGACATACAACGTTAAAATGTTATTTTTCTGATCCATGAAAGATTATATTGGCAAATTCAGAATACATAAATTATGTGAAGTCAAAACAGCAGAAATGTTGGGTAAAGTATGTCATCTTTACATACAAATTACTTGTGAATATCACAGTAAAATTTATATTAGTGCTTTATATTGAAATTAAATTTTTATTTACATAACCAAACAAAATACCATTGAAAAAAGATGCATGTGATTATGAAGAAAATTATGAAAAGCGTGATGAATTTAATGTGACCACTAATTGGCATGATGTAGCTCATGCTTCATAAGTATTTGACAAAACTTAGTAACTGGCTAAAAGTACATCCATGTGCATATTTACCACTTTTAAATAGTTTCATTTTCCTAAAGCAAAACTAGACAGATTTAAAAACAGTCATATATTTATCTATAAATTTTGTCTGGTTATTATTTCTAAATACAAATATATAATAATTATTATTATATACAACTTAAACAAAAATGTTACTCTATGATTTAATAACCAAAATTTAAAACATTATTAATAAGACCCAGCTTGTAGTGTATTGTTAACTTCCTATTTTAAAAATTTCACCAAGTATAATTACATAACTTAACCATATATTCTTAAGGATCAAACTGTCTCCTAAACAAAGTCATATAGATTACAAAAGGTTTTAGGAAAATTTGCTGAACATTTACCATTATTAAGGATATGTAATAATAGAAAACATTACTATCTGATATTTGCTGCAAAACTCACAACACATAATTGCTTGAATAAGAGTTTAAAATTTTTCCAGTATGTTTTCCCCAATAAAACAAAAACGTACATATAATTTTATCTGGAAAAGGAAAACACTTGAAATAGTCAACTGTAATGAAATGTTTGAATACCCTTAATGAGATACAAAGATCTTTCATATACTGTATCTCCAAACAGGTTTATCTGACAAAGCCAGCTGTTGCTTGGATACGTGCCCACATATATACAAGAAGTCTATAATTTTAATAGAAGTTTTCAGTGCTTTTAGATTAGCCAAATTTTAAATAAGGGCATGATCACAAAAATAAACAAATGTCCTTAATTAAATTAAAAAAAGGACAAGCGCAGATATAAGGGAGTCATTAGAGAAATTCAAATGGTAACTTGGAACTTTTCTAAAACTACATGTAAACAATTGATTAATCAAATTAAACATAATGACTGAATACTGAAAAAATAAAGGATAAAACATAGTGTCTCTCTTTTCTATTCCAGGAAAAACAATAAAGTTCTTGAATGATTGTCGTTTTCAGTAAAAGATGTATTTTCCTTCTATTCATGTTTACCTCAAAATATTTTCAGTAGTAAGCATGCATATGGCCTAGTCCAACAGCTATTTGCTGCATAGATAATTCCTATAAAATGATTATTTCTCAAAAGAAATGACAGAGTAAGTTGAAAAATAGAACTAGCACTTGAAGACCAATGCATTGTCTCCAAATGCAAAATTCTACTCAGTATTTCTTTCACACTAGTAAAATCAATATCTGGAAATATGTAATAGTTTGCACTGAAGACTGTTCAAAGTAGAACAGCAAATGGAGTATTCCAAAATACTGTCTTTCAGTTTCTTGATTATTCATTTTCTTGCAGTCCATGCCGTGGCACCTTTCTTTGTGGAACCTTTGGAACCATATCCAGATGACTGGGATTATGAAGCTTGCTGGCATTTGGAGTGACCACTTCCATGACCTGTGCTTTCCTCACCGGCACGAGACCTATAATGAAGATCCTGCTCCTGGTACCCTTCTGTTGAAACACAACCAAGTAAAACATCCTCTATTTATTTTAAGAATGATACTAAATCCGCCAAACTAAATGTCTACTGGTATTTTGTTAAATGCTTTCCATTCAAACGCCAACATGAATAGCTTTTAACAGTAAATTTAAGGAGGCAATTACTAACTATTAACTGTACCGTGGAAATTATTTTCATTAATATCACAGTCTTTATACCAACAATATGAAAATAAAGCCTGTTTCCCAACTTCCTAATATAAGCACATTTGTTATTACATATGAATCATAGCCATTTATTTATGTAGGTTGGAAAACTTGTTAACCTATGTAGCAATGACTGCCTATAGGATGTTTTTTTAAGAATTATTATTCTTAATAGAAATTGTGAGCAGCACTTCTTGAACTAATAATGATGGCAAGGGCAGCAGGAGACTTCATAAAAGGGCATGAAATGATAGGTTCTTTAAGAAAAATGTAACACAAAAAGGTTTCTATTTTTAAATCAACTGGTATTGCAAAATGGCAAACAGTTTTTCCTCTTTGTATAAAAATATGTAAGAAATTAGTCTTGGAAGTATATGTTTAATCTCAGCAATAAGTTGCTTTACCTTCTCACACTGCAAAGTAGATTTCAACTGACATGAAGCCACCTAGAAAACCCAAGTTTTCTCCTCTTCAACGTGGTTTTTTCTCTAAACCATGGGCAAAACCAACCTTGTCAGCACCTCCCATAACATGTAAGAAGATCTGAAAATATGCTTTGTGTTTTCCAGGTTTCCTAACAGCTGAGTTCAGTTTTTAAATTCTTCAGAAACAATGAATAGCTCATGGAGGAAGGCAAGGAATTAGCATTTATTAAGTGCTTACTATGTGCTATGTACTGTGCTAGGCATTACATATTTCTATGAATGCTGCTTTTTAAAACATGCCTATTTTCCTATTTGTTCTTGAATGTGCCTCAGCTTTTAGCCATCAAAGTCACCTTGAAACAGTAGATGGAGCAATGGGACATTAATGGCTTCTGGTTTTATCATCATTTTGGAGCAAAGTGAAGTCCAATAAAGTCAATAAGTCCAGAAAGATGTATGATATATTGAAATGATATATACTGACATATATTGGATATAGATATATAAAAATTATCTAGTTATACATTGGTAGATATCAAACTAAAATATATCAACATGGGAAGATATGATCACTATATAACACTGATTATTCATAAATACATATTGTAAGAGTTTATAGGTTCAAAAATAAAAATAAAAGTATATTAAATGGTCAATAGGAAATAAAGTGAGGGATTTTTAAACTTGAAATTATCAAGCTAGGGTACATTTTTTCTCATTATTCATCAAATAAAGTGAATTATTTTCCTAAAGTAAGGATTATAAATATTCGCAACCTTTTCATTATACTAAAAGGACAGCCTAAATTTCTGAGTTTACAACAAGCAATTATATGGGTGACTTGTTTCACAGTTAGATCAGTTTCTTCCCTTTTGCCTTCCTTAATTTCAGTTATCCGGAGTGATATGCTTTGATCTTAATTGCCACTACATGATAAGCATGTGATGCGTTCACCGAGGAAATAATTATATTTGAAGCACACTCCTCCGAGTTTCCTGCTGCATTTGGAGATTGAGTTTGAGTCTTCAGAATCAAGAAACTCTTATTGTTACAAAGAAATTGCTAGGGAGGGGTCAAAAATCCCAAAGCCTA